GGCTTTTTTTCCCTTCAAAACTAGAAGCACTGACTATACAAACTACTAGGTCCGGATTAAAAGATAAATCAACGTTGTGATTGAAATCCATTTACGCTACTGGATGAAAATTTTAGTTTTGATTCCAGTATTAAATTTATACTCAACCTCTGCACTAATTTCTCAAACTTTAGATGCTCGAAAGATAATTACTAAAAATTCAAGAAAAATAAAAAACCGGAAGCGGTCAAAACGCGACGTAGTAACGAAAACGCACCAAAATTTGAACTCTGGAAGGCGGCGAACGAACGGTCGAAATTCGTCTGAGCCTCGAGTGGGGAGGGTCGGGCCGTCAGAAAACTCAGGGTCGACCTGCGGTGAAAGAAACCCGATGAGGAGGTTTAGAATGTAGATTCCGAGGGCATAGGTCACCACGTAAAATCCTTGGATCAGGTACACCCGCAACACGTACACGAATGCGATGAAGAGGAATGTAATCCACCGGTAGAGCACGTACGGAGTTGACTTGTCCAGGAGGTGCTGGTACTGCTGCGAAAATGTGAAGGCCCACCGCGACATGGCTGCGGCGGGAGTGTCTGAGTTAAGACCGTCGGCAGGTGTGGCGGAACCGCCTGGTAAGGGATCCATGATAATTGGTGGAAGTTTGTGTGCAGTCTGGAGTCTCATGGCGTAAACCAGCACGAAAAGGGAACCCAAAATGAGTAATTTTCATTTTTAGAACTTTAGTCCTCATAGTTTCGGTAAACTCGAATTAACTCTTAGAGTTAGATAAATGATCAATTAGTCCCCACAATGATGGATTATGTTTCCTTTATATTAACACTTAAGTAGACATCAAAGTATAAATTGAGATATATCGGGGTTACAGGTTTCCTATTTCTTTGATCTGCGTCAAGTTCTCATTTATAGATATTAATGTATATTTTTTCTTATTCACTAATTTATAACAACTTCGAAAAAATTGTCGCGTAAAACTGTTGGTAATATAAAATTATAGAATCTTCACGTTAAGTATTGTATTTATAATTATTCATTTGATTAAAGCATTTTCATGTAGAATAATTCCATTTGTAATTAATAGAATGTATCGAAAGTTATCTCTCCTCTCACAATGCACGCGAGCCCCATGTAAATATAAAAATTCTCAAACCCATCCGAGTAGCAAGTAAAAGATTAGGTAAAAAAATTATATACATGTAACATTATCCTTAAATTATTGTAAATTTTAACGATAATGTTAGAACCTAAATTAAACTTTTTTTCGAACAGCATAATTTGGATTAAAATTGAAACATTAACGGGACCATGTGGATCCAAATTAATGGTTACGTAGAGGGGATTTCAATTCGGGTGGATAATTTTGATTACAACCCCCTAATAATATAGTACTATTAAATTATAGGTCTAATTAAATACAAAAACGTGTCATCTTGTTATGGATTCTATCATATATTGTAATCTAAATATTGGATAACATTACTTCCAAAACTAGGTATAGAGAATAATGAGAACCGACTATTTTTACTGATCTATTTAGCCTCCATTTAGATATAGAATCATAAATTTAATCAAATTTATACATTATTTTCAACTATACATTTATAATTATTTTCATTATTATTCATGCATTTTGTAGGAACAATATTAACCTTTATAAATCGTTTAGAAATTTGCCGAACGGAGACATCCTTAAAGTAGAATAGGTTGGTTGATACCATGCCGGGATTTGTTGACTATGTTATCTATTGAATTTTCATAAAAACTAATGAATTACCATTGTCGAGAAGCATACGCAAATATGTAACCATCAACGTGATAAATATAATAACATTTAGCCCCCGTTTGGTTGCAAATTTTCACCCAAAAAAATCAATTTTTTTACCGTTATTTAACTATTTCAATCGTTATTTTTTATTTTTTCATTCACAGATGAGATCCACTTTCTCTTCAACGATAAAAAAAATCAATTCTCTAATTACTACAAAACGTGCCCTTGATATTAAGTATCCGCTCATTTGACCTTATCAAAAATAAATGACAACTCCTTCCTTGAGTGTCCTCGTGAAATCTATTTTTGGAATTCCAACAAGGCCGAACACAAAAAGTTCGGTCTCCACATTGACCAAATGTTTTTGTCTTATCCAATTAGAAATTGATTTTATTATCTAAAATGATTGTGCACCTCATTATTTACATCTATGTTATTAGTGTTTCGTGCGGATTAGTCGCTAACAAATAAAAAGGGATCAAACGATTGTATAAAAGACAAACTCTTGAGACAAAATCTCAAAAAGGGGTGTTTTTATTGGCGATGACTTTACAATTGAAAAATAAAAACAAAATGTTTTTAAGGGGCGCAAGCACACGAGTTACTAAAAAGAAGTGTTTAAATTTAAACTAAGAAATTGAAAGCTACATATTCTCTATTTGAGAGTGTTTGATTCGGGATCCTTTGCTCTATGTCTTTTCTTCCTTTTATACTCTTTGGATAATCTCTTCGTGATCAACCGCTTAAAAACTACTTGGTCGTTCTATAACTGTCCACTTTCTTCATTGTGGCCAATTTGTCATAGACTGCCTTCTCTAACTGCTGCCATTACTTTTGTCTTTCAACCGTCTTCAATTGAATTCCTTGAATCGTGAAACGTGATAGGGCTACTCAATAACTGTTTCATTAACCGCACATTTGGGTAACCATAACATCTTATATTTGCTAATATCCTGGGCGACTCGAAGGTTTGGGCGAGAACAGGGTCACAGTTCTGGGCGACTGCATGGCAATCCATTCGCTCAAATCTTGAGCGACTTGTAACCTTGGGCAATGGTATTACCGCGTTCATGGGCTTCCCTATTTTGCCCTTTATCCTGCATTGCCTGATTGGACCGTTCTTTGGGCTATCTGATTTGGGGATCCTCTAATTGGGCTTCATTTCTTGGGCTTATTCGATTTGGGCTGAACTTTTGTGTGTCAACAATTACCCTCCAATATGGTAGAATTAATACCAGTTATTAATTTTTTGCCATATTCACTTTGTGTTTCCTAGCAACACTCGAAATTCCCAAGGATTTCAATTATTGTTTTCTTTCATAGCCTGAAAATGTGCGACGTTTGCAAACCCTTGTAACCCCCAAATACACGTCATTTCATTGCACCACTAAATCACGTCTCATTGTTTCGAGCTTCTCTCTTGCAATATTACTGTTCATCTTCTTGTTTCTCTGCTACGAAAAATAACCTTTTCGGCAGCCTCTATTTTTACTTCCTGCTTGTCCTCTGTCGAGTTATCCTTTTGTGATAAGTCAACGTGCATCATATCGCACTGAACCTCTGTCTCCTGAATTTCCTTTTTACTGTTTTCTAATGCTTCATCTCCAGTTACCCAATCTGTGGGAGGGTGCATTATTCTTGAAGATGATCCATACTTTTCAGAGCGATGCACTCTCTTCTTCTTTTTGGGCATCCCATACAGCACGTAAAAATCGAAAGAACGCCCAAATGGTTCTCCCAATAAGTCTTCTTCTTTCTGCTTCCAGATCGATTTCCTCTTCAATGTCTGTCATCCATCATCTTCCTCACCATTGTAGACCTATCTAGAAGTCTAGCTTTCTTCATATTCTAGCACGCATGCTTTTCCTTCGTTATCCTCTCTTTCTTCTTCTTCCTTCTCCTTATTCTTGAACTCATTGGCTAGTAAATAGTTATTAGCCACGATAGGAGGTAACGTACCGAACTGAATAGTAAGGGGCTGATCTGGATCTTCTCCATCCCTTCTGTCTCGCTCAAACTTCGATCTCCCAGAATAGGTTTCTGGCAACTCTTTCATTGATTCATCTGTACCAGTCTCTTCACTGTCTTTGAGAACATTTTGATTGGCTATCTCGAGTAGTTTAGGCGCCTTAGGATGTGACACTCCTTGTTGTTGCCTCATCATTCGTCCATAATTTCGTTAGAAACGCTTTTGTTGGGTTCTAGTCAGCTCGTTGAAGGGTATCGCCTTTCCTGCATTATACTGGAACGAATGCCATACATTTGGTTGGCGAGGTTGCGGCCTGAATGTTCTCCCATTATTTACTGGCCCGAACTACCTCTCAAAAGGCGATTCCTTATAGAACGATGTACCTCGCTCTCTACCAGACTGAGTGTTTGGGAAGAAAGTAGGGCGATGGGGATGCTGCCATATCCCTAGTTTCTTCGTATTCCTACTCACTTCTTTTTTACATCTTGCACACAAGACGTCTTCATCCCTTTTTAGCTCCTTCCCTTTAATATGCTCAAAGACACTGGGATGTGGTCCAGGGTCTTCTTCTCCATCATCTATAACCAACTTGAATTTTGACAACTTGTTTTTGAAACCAGACGTCACTATAACTCCAAGTGGCTGTGGAAAAGGATTTTCATCCACTACCATCTTCTTCTTATCATCGAACGTAATTCGCCCTGATTCAATGACATCTTGTAACACATGGCGAAAAACCAAGAAATTATTAGTCAAATGTGACAATGCATTATGCCACTTACAATATTTTTTACCCTTAATTTGTTCAGGGTTTAACAATTTATGCTTATCGCTCAACTTTATCTGCTTATCCTTATATAATTTATCAAATATAAGGTCAGCTTTGGTTACATCGAACGAGAACATTCTAACTTTTATGTTTTCATCTTTCATAGGCTAATCTTTGCCCGATGGTCTAGGCTTAGCCATTATAGGACAAGTATACGTGTCTCCTTTGACGAATTCGGTTAAACACATTTCAGTCTGATCGTATGACTCATTATTAATGGTATGAACATCAAAATTTGGGTCTCTATAATAAGTCCCCTTACTAGAATTTTTTATCTACTCTTCTTCTCTTATCAATCGTTCATACCTAATCACGTTCGCGCTCAATTGGAAAAGGTCAGGAAATTTCTTGTCTGGAAATTTCTTTTTCAAATCAAAGCTCAAACCACCTTGAGCGATTTTGACAAACTCTTTTTCGGGCAGAGGTATAAAACATTTACTTCTTGCTGTCTTGAACCTTTGGAGGAGACCTTCTGCCCATTCGTTTGGCATTTGACGTAAATTCGCCAAATCGGCCAAAGTAACTTCAGACTCAGTCTTATAAAACTGAGTGTGGAATAATTGTTTCAATTGTTGTCATGTTTGAACAGAGTTCGCTGGCAAATTGATGAACCAGGAGAAATCTACTCCTGTTAATGAATTAGGAAAAAACCTCATTTTATGGTAATCAATTACGTCTCTACTTTGCAGTGTGAATCGCCCTATGTGTTCTAGAGTAGACACCTCTCCTAAACCGGTAAACAGTGAGAATTTTGGCACTTTATACCCTCTAGGCCATGGATATACTTAGTCTACCAATCAGGATATGAATTTGTGTAAGTCGACCTAATAATAGGACGTACCCCAAAAGTCATATGATCCTGTACAATTTCTATGATTTGATTTCTCAACATGACGTTGGGGTTATATGGAATTCCTACAGGTTGGTTAACCGGTTGATTTGTTTGAAGCCTGATGTTTGGTCCTTGATTGGCAATAAGGTTACCATGATTTGGATCATTGTTACCATTAGCCTGAATATTTATTCCCTCATTAACACGTGGGATATTCTGCCCATTATTTAGGACATTATCTCTTACTTTTGGATTACCCCCCAAGTTAGGCATACCACTAC